ACTATCCTGCATTGCATCAATAGTAGTATGATTATATAGATCCTAAGTAACGTATATGATTTTTTTGAGAAATATATCTATGTTTTGATCGATAGCTTAATTTTCACTGCTATTTAGAAAATAAAAAATTTTTGGAAGCTCTACTTGTTTAAATTTAAAAAATAATAATAATTATATAAATTTAGATTCTGGGGCATCACATATTACATCACTGACATGCTCCCCTACTCAAATCTCATGAAAGCCTTCTACTCAAATTGCATAATTTATATTTACACATTGTCACAACACCTTCCCCCAATAAAGGACATCATTTGTAATTAACGACAAACACTAGTGAAATAGTTTTAACTGAGCTAAGCATTGTGATTTTTTCCTTTTCAAGATTGTTCAAGTAAAAATAAAATAATGATCGCTACTATTTAACAATAGCATGCCAATATGACATAGGTCATATAGAGGTGAGTCAAACCAACTGGAGTAATCATGCATGAAAAGTGATAAACATTACCATTGCTAATCATGCCAATGTACACAATCATTTATATGATTGATGGACACTATTGATGTCAACTCTGACTCCCAACATCAACGCTAGGATTTATATTTAATTTCATGATATCTGGTCTTCTCCTCTCAAAAGAGTATGATTAAACAAATAAACAAATAATCACTTAAAGACAACTATCATATCACATGGTTCTTCCAATTTCAACCATATAATATGTTTGTTATATCGTATTAATGATTTCCTTGAGGAGGGGCATCATTTATGATCAATAATAAACACTAGAAGAGTCATTTTAATTGGATTAGCTCTACGTGCTTTTTCCCTTTCCTAGATTTCCACAGAAATTTAGGTGCCTTACACTTCTTATAAATCCTCTCTTTATTCATGTATATATTGGGTCTTCATATAAAACTGAGATATTAACTCTCTATCTATCTACTTATGTGAATATTACAACAAATAACATATATTACATATACAGTTTATCACTTCATTATTATTATTATCTTTGCTTTATGATCAGACAATGAATTGCATATCTTCTAAACATATTAAGAAATAAATCTATCATGATAATTCGACTAAACTTTTATTATAATTAATATTAAAGCCTTTAAATTTTTTTTAAGATGGATGCAATATATATCATGTAAAAGCACATTTAAAATCATTAAATTCAATCATTATCATTTTTCACCATATTATCAACTTTGTCATAATACCACATGTTTTATGTCATTTTATTAAAATCTTGATTTGTTTTAAATTAGGCATATAATTGTTGTTATAATTACTTGTAATGATGAATTTATTTATTACATCTCTTTAAAATTTTTTGATTTAATTAAATAATATTTACAATTTTATAATATTACTTAATTTTTTAAATTTTATCAATATACATTTAATGCATATGTAATTATACTAGTAAATATAAAAATTTCAATATTAAATGTACAAATAAAAAAAATTAAATAATATATCTTTAATATTTAATATATTTTTTCCCTCATTCATTCCCCTTCAACAAAACTACCCGAAATGGTCGGCTGATTGCCACATACTCATAGGAGAGATCATCATATTCGTTCTTACCAAACGTGGGGTCCACCAAGAGGCGCGTTGAATTGTCGTCGAGTGCGCGACCTCGTCGGTACACTGAATATAATTTCCTCCCTTTCCAGCCTGCTTCGTAAAAGGATTAAAAGCTAATCACATCGTCATTTAAAAAAAAATAAAATTAAATAAGCTTCAGCTTTATCACATTTCACATGTTTCTTGCCCTTTGCTCACGTGATACGCGCTTGTAAAAATTAAAATGCGCTTGAATTGTTTATATTCAAATAAGCGAGCAAAACGTGCAGCTTACCTGATTTATTTTTTTCCTTTCTGGCTCAATTATGAAAGGGCCTTCGTACCATTATTATCATTTTTTTTCTTTCGTGGGACCGCCGTTTGGATGGCCTCGATCTGCTTATTTCAATATTACCGACGGCGTGGGTCCGATTGTTTAATTAATTAAGAAAATTAATATATATATATATATATATAGAAAAATTTGGGGCAGGGCCCAATTTTTATAAAGCTAAATAAAGATTACAATAGATAGCAACAAATAAAGAATACCCAAAAAATAAGCAACAAATAAAGAAAACAAATAGAAACCAATAGAGTACCAACTCTTCAAAGTAGACTAGAGAATAGCCTGGATACAGGAGAATGCGACTTGGTTTATCCAAGCCAACATTCATATTCCTATGATATATAAATGGGTCTTCTCAAAAAAATTAGGGTCACTAAAGAGTCCAACCAGGCAATGCAGTAGGCACAATGACCTTTTTTTATTCTTGAATTTGATCTTCCCTTGGTTGCCATGAAAGCCCTCCAAGTGTTTGAATATAAATAACTAGCTTTGTTCATCATCGTCCTGATAGAATCAGTCAAAAACTTGCATCGTGGAACCAAAGTTATTTAAAGAATATAATTCCTTGAAACATTTATATTCTCATTATTAGCCCTTTTCAAAATTTTAAACTAAATAGCCTTCTTCACTTGAGTGATTATATAAGACAATCTTTCAGTTCCCAAAAAATCGCATGTTATTCTTTTCTTTCAATAAAAGATAAACCGAGCATACGATTGTTAAAAAGAGAATATGCTTTTCTCTTTTATTTGATTGTTGACAATTATCAATACAATCAAATAATTGTAAAATATTATGTCTCATTAAAAATAAATCTATGAAAAGAAATAAACATTTGATCACAACAAAAGAATAATCACATTCAAAGAAGAAGTTCTTATGATTTTCGGCCTCCTTATTACATAAAACACATATAGCATTCATGTTAATAACCCTCTTATTCAACAAATCTGCTATTTTCATTCTTTCAATACTTGCCATCTAAGTGAATGAAGAAAATCATATCTAAGATTTTATTTGGGATAATTTTATTTCTATAAAATAACTTTTTAATACATTAAAAAAATTATTTAAAAATTAGAAAAAAAAAGTCTCCGCAAATGAAGCTTAAATCATAACCTAAAAATATTAATGTATTACTAAATTTATTTTATAATTCGGTGCAATATATAATTATCCTAGCTTATTATTAGATTTTTTATTTCATTTTTTATATACATATTTTGTGTGTGTTAAACTGTTAATTTAGCCATAAATTAGTATTTTTTTCTTTTATTAATTTCTTTTCTCATTTTTTTAAAGCGCCCGCCAACCTTATTACTGTTCACACGTGGGCTAGCCGAGTGGTCAGAAAAGGCTTACTGATTGTAGTGCTGCTCTAGGGAAGGCGCCTAATAATATTCAATTCACAATTTTTTTTCTTCTGAAGTTTATGGCTACTGATTAGAGAAGAAAATACGAAATGAATTACATAAATATGATTTAATACATTTGTTTGAAAGGCATATATAAATCGGGGATGGGTGAGCACGGTTGGGAACCTCCATCTCGGATTCGAATCCCCTTTACTGTTGGCTCGTCTCTTCAGTGGGGCAAAAGCAAGTGTGAGCTCGATGCTGGTGGATGCCTCCTTAGATTCCGCCGAGAAATTAGTTACACTGTCAAGCACTCTCTTTAAAGTGATAGTAGGTAGAAACCTCCGTTCCCAAAACAATAAAAAAACATATACAAATCTTATATTCATTTATATTAATTTTTAAATTTAAACTTTTTATTAATAAAATGAAGAATTTATTTGAGATAATTTTCTTACTCTTTTAGATATTATACTTACATGCTTTAAAAAAAATACTAGGTGCACTTTCTATTTTATTCATTTTAATTGAACTAAATGTATAAGTTTGATATAAATATATTTTTAATATTCATCATATATATTTTATTAAGAAAGTTAAGAGGATATTTTAAATAAAAATCATATGAAGTAATCAAGCATTTATTAAAATTTATTTAAATTAAATTATCTTTATATTTTAAAAATTATTTAAACATAAAATATGTGCCTACATAACTGAAAATTCTAAAATCATTATTAGAGCTTTAGTCCTCAACTAACATGAATAGATGGGCATATTAAGGCTTCGTTTATAATAAGTTTTTATCATTTTTTCAAAAAAAAATTGTGCCAAGAAAGCTCTTTCAAATAAAACTTAAATTAGAGAAATGATAAAAAAGAATAAGCATTCACAATTTTTTCTCATGCAAATTTATATTTTTATTTATGTAAATAAATCAATATTTGGATTAAAAATTAAATCAATTTTTTGCTAAATTTAAGAATGAGTCGCTATTATATTAGGTCTGATTCAGTAAATCAGCAAAATTATTATTAGGCCCACATTTAAAGATCTAATGAAATGACTTTGAGCCAATTTTAAATTTAATCGAAGATCGGATGATGTATAATTGTATATACAGCACTTAGCAAGTGAAAGATATTTTTATCAGAATATTATATTATTTGTAATTCTGTTATTAACAACGAAATTGCTAATATTTTATTGTGGTATCTTATGACGGTTTTCATGACATGCATGAGAGAAAAATATTTTAAAATATATATAACAATTCAAAATATATCACAATTTTTTTAGACCCCCCCCAAAAAAAAAAGTTTTAAAATACTATAGTCTTTAGGCAATTATCCACAACAAATAGTAAATAGAATTCATCATTTTATTTATTAATTTGAATTCTAAAAATATCCTTACAATCAAAATTTGTTCCAAAGGGCATTGCCTCCTTTGAACCCCCAGATATATCTGCAAAGCGTACTACGATCAATGATAAAAATAAATAGGGATTGTTATTGCCCTTTTCTTGTAGTGAAGGGTCGAACAAAATTAAACGCAATACCAATAATTACGTCTAAGTTTGTCTTCCCTTAAAATTAAGATTGATTCCGCTCCTACTCTTAATTAATAGTCTTTTTTTTGTATGTTGATTTGAAATTTTGACTATCAAATAAAAGATTCGAAGTTTGAGTGTTACATGCACGAGTTTATTTAAAAAAAAAAACGAACTAAACGTCTGATCCTAAGCACAAATTAATTGTAAATGAAGTCCAAATCATAAGTAAACCAGCTATTAAAGGGAAACCCGAATACACTTTCCGATTTCCCGCATTAATAATAGTGTGAAAGGCAGCCCATTCCGTGGGGAACCAACCTTCCGTCTCTCCAGCCTCTTCCGTCGCGTTACTCTCCTCCTTTTCCGCCACCATCACCGCCTCTGATCCCGACCGGGTATACTTTCTCTGTCATCGTCTCCTAACCCTAACGCCTGAACAGCTATAGCTGACGCCACTGTATTCCATTTGCACCCCTTTATGCTGTTGCGATGAACCTTTGGACCGACGACAACGCCTCCATGATGGAGGCCTTCATGGCCTCAACCGACCTTCATGGGCTGCCTTGGACTCCGACGCCGACGTCGTTGAACAATAATTCTACTCCTCTCTCCGGCATGTCGGGTACCGCCGCCACGCCAGCTTATTTCACCCAGGAGACCCTGCAACAGCGGCTCCAGATGCTGATCGAGGGGGGTAGAGAGAGCTGGACCTATGCGATATTCTGGCAATCATCCAATGACGTTGGCTCCGGCGCGAACCTTCTTGGCTGGGGAGATGGGTATTACAAGGGTAGCGAGGAGGGGAAGAAGAAGCGGAAGGTGAGCACGGCTGCATCCGCGGCGGAGCAGGAGCACCGGAAGCGTGTGCTTCGTGAATTGAACTCCCTAATCTCCGGCGGCTCCTCCGGGTCCTCGCCGGACGATGCGGTGGAGGAGGAGGTCACCGACACCGAGTGGTTTTTCCTTGTCTCCATGACGCAGTCCTTCATCAACGGCCATGGGCTTCCGGGACAGGCCTATCTCTCCGGCACGCCTTCCTGGTTCTCAGGAATCGACCGGCCCACCATGGCGTCCTGCGAGCGAGCCAGACAAGCCCAGGAATTGGGGATCCAGACCATGGTCTGCGTTCCGGTGGGAACCGGCGTCGTGGAGTTCGGATCGACCGAGGTTATCTTTCATAGTGCGGAGATGATGAACAAAGTTAAGGCTCTGTTCGTTTTCAATGGCCACGACAGCTCCGCTGCAGAAGTACCCTGGCTTCCGCCGGCGGTGGCAGAACAAGTTGATGCTAATCCATCGACGATGTGGATCTCAGATCCATCGGTCATACAGATCAAGGATTCGGTTTCCCCTCCTACCGCTATCTCTGCTTCACAAGCCCCAATTCGGTTAGACAAACCTAGCACAAGTGGCCTCACTGAAAGCCGAAATTCGATTCCAATCCAGCAAACGCTGCAAAACCGACATCAATCAGTGAATCAACAGCACCCGTTCTACAGCAGAGAGTTCAATTCCTCAGATTTTACTCGTAACAATGCCACCCCTTACCAACCCTCCAAGCCGGAATCCCGCGATGTCCTTAACTTTGGGGAAAGCAAGAGGAATTCATTTTCTTCCTCCCCCTCAGTCCAACAACAAATCCCGGACGACAAGAAAATCAAAAAAGCCGCCGTGGATACCACGTCCCGTGGAAGCAACGAAGAGGGCATGCTCTCCTTCTCCTCAGCCCCAGCGCGCCAAGTTTCTACGGGACATGGGAAGGCCTCAGCTGCTGCCGATTCAGACCATTCCGACCTCGACGCTTCTGTCCGCGAGGCTGAGAGCAGCAGGGTGGTAGAGCCCGAGAAGCGGCCGCGGAAGCGCGGCCGCAAGCCGGCAAATGGCCGGGAGGAACCGCTTAACCACGTGGAGGCGGAGCGGATGCGGCGTGAGAAGCTGAACCAGAAGTTCTACGCGCTGCGCGCCGTCGTCCCCAACGTCTCAAAGATGGATAAGGCTTCGCTCCTTGGCGACGCCATTTCTTATATCAACGAGTTGAGATCGAAGTTACAATCACTGGAGAGTGACAAAGAGGGGCTGCAGTCTCAGCTCGAGTCACTAAAAGAGGAGAGCGACGCGGGACCTTCACGGCCCCTGCCGCCTCTCCTAGCGGCGACGGCGGAGCATGAGCTTAAGTTGATGAATGGCTACGGGCGGACCGCTGGCGTGGAGATCGAAGTGAAGCTTCTTGGCGTGGAGGCGATGATACGCATACAGTGCCAGCGCAGGAACCACCCGGCGGCGAGGCTGATGGCGACGCTCAAGGACTTGGATCTCGAGCTATACTACGCAAGCGTCTCGGTCGTGAAGGACCTCATGATCCTGCAAGCAACGGTCAAGATGTCGAGCTGCGGGTACACACAGGAGCAGCTCAGCTCCATGCTCTTCTCCCGCGTTGCCGATCCAATACTCCGGCGCTAGGTATAGATAAATGTCTTGTGCCACCTTCATCAAAACCGTTTCTTTTTTCTTGTTTTTGGTTTTTTAAGCCGAGTGTTGTATCATCATCTGTTTTTGTGTAGGTTATATGGATTCCAAAATTTCTACAATAATTTTTAAAACTTTCATCGATACATCCATAATATAATTAATAATTATTATGTAAGCCTTCAGTGATGCATGTATCAAAACTTCATGATAATGTCACTTGAATATTGCAATATCTACATAAGCATAATAAAATTCAATGTATATATATATGTAATATTAAAGTTTTAGGTGTTAGATATGTAAATATGATAGTATAAAGTGGTATGTATGTAAAATTCCCATAATTATATAGTGAATATCCAACAAATTGAGATCAGGCCTATGGCCTGACAGTTGATGGAAGACCTTCATCCTGATCTCATTCAGACTTGAATCACCTAACCTACCCGCAAAAATAAAATAAAATAAAATCATATATTCCTACAAGAAATATTATCTAAGGAAAAAATATAAAAAAATTAAGGTAGGAGCATGATATCCTATCTTACATAGATTTATTTTTTTACTAGTGTGGCATGTGAATCCCAAATTAAAGTCTCCAAATTGTTAATGGAGGTAGCCAAGCTTTTAACAAGGTGGAAAGGAGGTATTACTAGGAGGTAATAAGGAGCTAGTATCAAGCTCAGGGAAATTGAATGTAATGGAATCTATATTTAGTGTATACTTGAGGGATATAAGAAGATAGAGAGATTTGAGAGACTATTTTGAACTTCAAGAAATTCAGAGTTTTGTAGAATGTGGAAAGTTTATGGTCAATGAAAATGACTTATCACATGAATTGGAGTGAGACATTCATGGTTGGGAGGAGAGGATATTTGGCTTAAGCTTGAGGCCACCAACGACAAGAGAAAAACTTAATGCGACACTATTAAAACATGTAAATATGAGAGGAGAGTTAAAAAAATAATAATAAAAAAAGGAGAGTTGACATAGCCGATGAGAGAAGCATATATCAGAAAATCCTAACCCTAGCATAGTCCATATAAAAGAATAAAAGTTCAAATGATTTTCTTGGTTTTGGTCTTCTGTTGTGACATGTTTGATTTTGAATGGCTTCTTTCTTTGATTTTTGATGGAAGGGTTCCTTTTCTACTTTGGTGGTGTTGGGGGCTTGCCTTTGCGGTTATTTTTTTCCTTACTTTGGTGGTGTTGGGGGCTTGCCTTTGCGGTTATTGCTTTTTCTTCGAGGTTCGAGCAATGATTTGACGACTTCTTATTCACCTCCTAGACAGTTTTGGCATGCTGGGAACCATTGGTGGTGGTTCCTATTGATATATTTGGTGATTGTTACTTGATTTCTCCTCTAGATGGTCATTGTCTAGCTTCTGGGTGTTTGCAGAAAACTTCCTGCCAATTACTGAGCTAGTTTGGCTTCTGCTTCCTTCTCTATTTATTCTCTTTTTTATGGTTGTGGAATTGTAATTTTGGCTTTGTTCTTTTTTGGACTTACTTGTATCCTCTTTTTTTTCTTTGAAATATAATCCCTTTTCAAAAAAAACAAAAGGTTCAAATGATTTATTATTTACATTATTTATGTATTCTTAGAAATATAATTTTTTTTCTTTTAAAACTATACAAAGGGTGAAAATCTTCCGTAATGTGAAAAATTCATTATAGTTTTAGCTGTATCCAAAAGCCTAATTAAAATTTAATGAAATGACCTCAAAAGTCGTGAATCAATATCAGCTCTTTTTGACTTCAATAACATTTAAAAATTATAAATTTATATTAAAAAAAAATGTGTTTAAAAAAAAGTAACATTTTGCGTGTGAATTTCTTATATAAGTTTAGTGGTAAATGAATAGACATATTAAATAGCTTGTAATTTTATAAAAGAATAACAGGCTATCAATGCCAATTAGGCCACACAAATGGCATGACGTTTATATTTCTCTTACTCTGGACTTTTAGCCTATTACGCGTGAAGTTGTTGCTAAGGTTACTGTAGCTGTGGGGCTCAACCGCTCAAATGATGCTGTTGCACATGGGAAGAAGCTCCTCCGGTTTGACGTTTAAGCAAGAGAGATTTCTATACACAACTCTTCTTGGCCTATTGGTTGAAAGTTTAGGCTTCCAACTAAGAGGTCCAAAGTTCGAGTTCATGTGTATGCGTTGTGTGTGTGAGTTTGCCTTAAATGGCCTAAATGTCCCAAAAAAAAAGAGAGATTTCTATGGGATTAAACTTAGGATTTTTTCTTTTAGGAGCTTACAGGAATCATAAATTAGGAGTGCATTTCAGTCGACATTAAAAAGTACCGAATTCTCTAACGGATTGAGCGCAAACTTTTTTTTTAGTTGATATTGTGAAAATGGTCAAATAATTTGGCGTAACATGCGGGGGAAATGTCGAAACGATTGGCTTAGTTTGGATAGAGAGATGGGAAGACTAGAAGGGGAGAGGGATGAGAAGAGAAAGAGAAGAGAGGAGAGAGTATTTTTTATATAATAATATTTAAATATTATTTTTATTATAATATTGATATATTCTATAAAAATATTTTGATCGGGTATGAATCTCAACCGGAATAAAGTTGGAAAGTTTCAAAATCAAATTTGGAACTATATGAACCCTGATTTTTGCAAACTTATAGTCGAACTGAACGTCTCAAAAATATGAAATCAAAGACACCAAATTCGACTCAATCCAAGCCCAAATGAGTCCAAATCAAAGACCCGAAGAGCATTTGGAAAGTTCAAGCTATAAGTTAGATGACCAAATGATTTCCAAAAGTGACACACTTATAGTCGAATCGAGCACATTGACGAGACAAATCCAACGAGCATGAGATCGTCAAATTCTGACACCATTAAAGCATTCAAATGCCTAGTAAACAATCCATGATTAAGGGGATCAATATCGATCTTCCATTCAAATCACTCCCAATTACTTACTCTTGATCTTCTTCCTATTTTACTGGCCATTTCACTCTAAGAAAACTATAGATAGACATATCATTCCTCATGGAAATGAGCTTTTATTATGTACGGACACCATACGGGAGAACCGTCCGGTTAAGCACTGGGTACCCATCGATACTTAGGGGTACCGAGCTGGTACCCAGCAATGGGGTGACATGGGGCATTTTTATTGGTCTCCGGACGCCCTCCTCACTCCGCACAGAATAATAAATCCACGGAAAGGGGAGGAAGCAAGGGGACCCAGGTAAGGAAGCAAGGTGGAGAATAAATAAGAGAAACTAGAGTTCTCTTGCCACCAAACTCCTCCTTGACCACCACCAGACTTTTTCCTGTCCACCAACTAACATTAGACTTTTGCCCGGCCACCAATTAGTATCGGACTTTCACCTGACTTCCAATTCTTGTTGGACTTCCACCGAACAACGGTCTTTCCAACCTCAGTCACCTAATAACGGTCTTTATTATGAACTGTCGAATGTCGATTATGATCTTTCCGACCTCCGATGCTAGCCGACTATGGTCATGTCGACCAAACGAACATATCAATTTCTGATTCTTCCAATTTCAACAATGTAATACACTCTGTATGATCTATATTTGCGACATCAAACCAAGGCATTCACCCCAAGGAAGAGGTTCATTTGGAATTGATTGCAAATAGTGGTGGATTCATTCAAACTAAGCTAGTCCATATGATTTTTTTCCCCTTTTTAGGGTTTTTCACATAAAAACTGGTGTCTCTTATGAATGCTACATTATTTCTTTTATCTGATTTGTTAATCATAGTTATAATATTTAAAATTAATATACTTAATATTTAAATTTATTAGGTATAACTTTTAAATTGTTTAATATTTCAAATTAATTAAATAATAATATTATTAAAATTTATTTTAATCAAAATTTTAATATTAAAGGCTCTCTCTCTCTCTCTCTTACCCTCCTCATCTTTTTCTCTCTTTGTGTGAACTACGTCGATCATTTTGGCATTTGAATATTGCATATGCTAAATTATTTAATGATTTCAACAACATCAACGTATTTTGCAAAAAATTTTGATGTTTTCTTCACCAAAAAAGCCTGCTCTAAATCTTTTAGTAACTTCGCTCCTTTTTAATTTTCATCTAAAACTTGTTCCTCATAGTTTACATCTCCCATACTCTCCTTATATAAAAAAAAAAATCCTTAAACTTAGTCATGTGTACGGAGGAGGAAGTCTATGTTAGCAACTAGGCTTTTTTTCCCCCAAAAAATTCATGAAAAAGTTTGGGTCAATTATAGAGATGTGTAGTTGGTGACCTGAGTTATTAATTAATGTTAGTTCTATTTTTTGAGATATTTAGATCTATTAAGACAAATTCATACACACACATCACATATGCAAGACTTGAATTCAAAACTTTTTAATTAATAGCCAAATCTCCCAACCAATAGATCAAAGAGAGTTCATAATGTTAGTTATATTATTAATTTGTGATAGTTGATTTGAGTTATGTAGGATCAATTGATAATTAAGTGTGTTTTTGTTAGTTTTAAAATACTTTAAATTAGAGATACATAGGAATTGATGATACCTTTCATATTATTTCCATTCTTCCATCATCTTAATCACTTAATTTGTAAAATTGTCGGCATACCAAACTGTGATTTATATTTCTCTTATTGTATTCCAACATGTGGATCGAACAACAATGTTATATCAATCGAGTGAAGTTTCTCTTAGTTAGAGCGATGATCAAGCCATATTAAGATCATGGTCAATTAATTATTTTCAATCAATATTGATTGTAATTTATCTTCACTCTTAATAATCAAAGATTATTCTTGTCATCTTGCCCACCTTTCAATCCAGTTGTGTTCCTCCAGATGTCGGCTGCTCTCTACTCTTCTATCTCACCATTTGATCTCTATACTCTTCTATCTCACCCTATGATCACCTCCTCAACCTCTAATAAGTAACATTCCTCTTAAGTTGCTTTATGCCCCTTGGAAATTTAGCCAACTCCTCCAACTAGCTCCATACACCTTGAACTCCTCTTGCCTTTTGTCCATACACCTTATCTAATTTCGTTCATAATATACCTAATATATGTATTGTCTAATTGACTGGCCTTATAACAAGACATGTGGAATGAATGCATAAGACCTTCCGCAACCGAACGGC